TCTACGCGGAGCGGCCGCGACCGTTTGCAGCCTACGTTGAGGCCGCCATCAAGAGTGGGCATCTGCCGATCGTCCGCTTTCTGCACGAAGAAACAACTTTACTGCAAACCGAAGATGTCCTCGAGTTCGCTGCCAAGTATGGTCACTACGACATGATTGTCTACTTGGTTGGAGAAGGCTACGACGGCTGTCCCGACCTTTTGGACCACCCGGCTGCTGACGGCTACCTCGACATACTCCAGTTTCTTCACGAAATGTTCCCAGACAAACGACTGGAAAGCGCGCTCGCGGCAGCTGCGCGCCGCGGGCACTGTCACATCGTTGCGTACCTTTTGGCCAATGGGATCTCGTCGACCAAGGCGCTTGAGCTGGCCGCCAAGCACGGCCATCTCGCTTGTTGTCAACAATTGCTCGCACACGAGCGCACGACGCACCCGGCACGCGTTTTGCCCGTGTCGGTCATGGTCGCGGCCGTCACGGGCGGACACGGTGCCGTTATTGAACTATTGCATCCGGTCCAGATCTGGTCCCACGAGTACATGGACACGTGTGCGCGGCTCGGCCGGCTCGACCTTGTCACGTTGCTGCACGCTGCCGGGTATTTTACGTGCTCCAAAGCAGCCATGGACGGCGCCGCGACCAACGGCCATCTGTCGGTCGTTCAGTTTCTAAGAGACCACCGGACCGAAGGCTGCTCGACGAGTGCGATCGACGGGGCTGCTGGAAACGGCCACTTGCACGTCGTCGTCTTCGTGCACGGCCATTGCAACGGAACCGCATCCCCGTATGCATTGGCGTGGGCTGCCATGGGGGGCCACGATCGCGTGGTGCGGTATTTGCACAGCGTCATGAACGTACCATTGCTGGCGGATGCGACCGAGCGCGCGGCGCGCGGCGGGCACTTGAACGTTATCCGCTACCTCCACGAACAAGGACTCGGTCAATGGACCTCCCGCGTCACGGACCTAGCCGCGAAAGCGGGCAACGTCGACCTCGTGGCGTATTTGCACACGCACCGAACCGAAGGGTGCTCGCCTACGGCATTGGACGGCGCCATGGAGCACGGTCATCTCGAGGTCGTGCGCTATCTGTACGAGGTTGTAGGCATGACATGCTCGGAGAGCGCCGTGGGCGGCGCCATTCGGCGCGGCCATGTGTCGCTGCTGCGATTCCTCGATGCCAGTGGCGTGGACGTTGTCCGGGTGCTGAAAAAGAGCGCGCTGCAGTTCGTTGCGCTCGTCGAGTTCTTGGAGCACGGCAAAAATGTATCGCCGCCCGCAAAGAAACAGCGCTTAACCACCGACGATTATACACCATGATACGGAAGTTAGAACGTTTAACTCACTGTCAGTACGAACACAAGTCGCATTCTCGTCCTCTGCAAAACACCATTTATCATCGAAGCGAGAACGGCGACATGTCATTGAGGCATGGATTATGAATGCGGACGGGCCGCCATCAGACGCAGCCACTACCTTGCGCGATGCAAGAAGACTACAAACCCCGAATCACGGCCCATCATACTCGACGATCTTGAGCAAAGATTCGGGCATCGAAAGCCCGTTTCTCGTTTGTGATTGGTTCAGATTCAGCCAATCAAATACAACTGCAAAATCGCCCATCAACAACCCGGCAACATATCACGACCACGACCGACCAACACGATGGACGCGACGCTCCGCGACCCGTGTCTCTTTCGCCTTATCACTGCGTACCAGCACGGCTGGTGGCCCGACAGCCTCGGCTTCCGCGACGACCCGCTCATCTT